CTTTCAATGCGGCTACACAATGGTGATGTGATCTCCGGAGCTCGCATTCGTGCTACTGGTATACCTCCTCACGTGTCAATACTGTGTGAGATGAAGTGGCTGAAGAATAGTTTGGTGGATGCATTGACAAAGATTGAGGCCACTAGAATTGATACTGTCAGGGACATTATATCTGAACTGGAGACTCGCGCTATTGGTGTGGGCACGGTGACATACGATGGGCTCAATGAAGCAATTAAGTCGTGTCTAAAAGACTGTGGAGTTAGCGATCTTGTAGACAAGCTGAGTACGCCTCAAGAGGAAGCAGCGGCGGCCAGTGATGACATATTTGAACAAAACCCGACACATTTCTGGGGGGGGGGGTTCCGACGAGTGGCGGCAGATTTTGAGATCCCGGATTGCTCTGTTCGTCATATCTGGGTGTGTGGTAATAAGTCTAAGATGATGCCACCGCTATGTCGTGTCGATGGTCGCGATATGCCAAACCGAAAGCAACAAAAACGTCTGAGTGAGCTGCGCTACTTAATGACCAAGATTGAAAACAATGCAACATCAAAGAATCTGCTTCGAGGTGGTCAGTCGATCGAAGAAACCATTAAAGTCTTCTTAGACTGTGCTGAGAGCGTCTCAGTAGACGCAACTACCAAGCACTCACGTAAGCGCCGACGTGGACAGCTAAGCTGGTCGACTATTGGGAAACTGCTACGAAAGAAACACAAAACTAGTTAGATTGTGTCCTGCTGCATGACTCATGCATATCTGTAACGTAGGTTGACGAATACCTGTCGTAATTGAAACCTTGGCAGACAGTCGAATGCTGTATGGCACACTACAGTAGTAGTAAGTACCGTAACGTATGTCTAATTCGATACTGTCCTGACGGATTCCGTCTAAGAATCAATTTTGACGAGGGGCCTTCTATTCGTAAAGGGCTTCTATTTCCTACTCCACTACGCTGATCTCGTCACGCGCAACATCAATGTCGTCGAGATTGAATGGGTCCTCGCTCTCGAGCTCCGTCGCTAGCTGGTTCCCTACCTCATCACGACCCCAAGACTGCTGGAACTTCCACCCGTAGATGTTGGAATTCATATCGTCGATGTGGCAGTTGAAGACATTGAAGGTCAACGGCTGAGAAAGGTTAGCTGCTACGAGACGCTGCGTATCAAAGATAAGCGCAAGAGTGCTGTTGAGAGTATAGTGAAGGAAGAAGCGACGAGACGCAGCTTGAGAAGCTGATACAG